CATATAAAGACTGGTGCTATTTTGATGCTCTATTCTGGATTGTCTGTAAGTTTCACCAGGTCCCTCTGCTGCTCGGTTTGTATGTTTGACCATTAAGTGTAGTAGCAAGAAGAGGGCACCAGGCAATGTAGGGTCCCTGCAAGACACAAACGGTAATCTGGTGGCCACGCCAGACAAGAAAGCTGATATTTTTAACAGTTTGTCTCTGTTTTCCTGAACAGGGACCAGGATATCCCACCTACCAGAGATAGGGAAAATCTTGGGGATAGCTCTATCAAGCCTTCAGTCAGCACAGATGTAGTTAGGGATCTTCTGGAAGGGCTAGACATTTAAACCTGCAGGCCCAGATGCCCTCCACCCAAGCGTGTTGAGGGAGCTGGCAGGGGTCATCACAGAGCCCTTGGCCAGGCTATATGAACATTCATGATCATCTGGCCAGGTGCCAGGGGATTGGAAACTGGCTAATGTAGTCCCTATTTTCAAGAAGGGGAGGAAGGAGGACCCAAGTAACTATAGGCCTGTAAGCCTCACCTCAGTGCTCGGGAAGATCTTGGAGAGGATCATCAAGGAGCACATCTGTGGGGGGCCTGCAGGGGAGATCATGCTCAGGGACAATCAGCATGGGTTCACCAAAGGCAGGTCCTGCCGGACCAACCTGATTGCCTTTCATGACCAAGTAACTAAATCCTTGGATGATGGTGTCACTGTGGACATAGTCCTTCTAGACTTTAAGAAGGCCTTTGACATTGTCTCTCACCCCATCCTCATCAATAAATTAAGCAACTGTGGCATTGATGCCTGCACAGTTGGACGGGTAAACAATTGGCTGATGGGGCACACCCAGAGAGTAGTGGTGGATAGGTTGTACTCAACCTGGAGAGATATGAGCAGTGGGGTCCCCCAGGGCTTGGTCCTTGGGCCCGCACTGTTTAACATCTTCATCAGCGACTTGGACAAGGGGGTGGAAAGCACGCTGTCCAAGTTTGCTGATGACACTAAGATGTGGGGCGAGGTGGACACACTTGAAGGGAGAGAGAGGCTGCAACTAGATTTAGACAGACTACAAAAGTGGGCAGATGAGAATAGGATGGAGTTCAACATAGACAAATACAGGGTGCTGCACCTTGGAAGAAGGAATCCACAGCATACATACAGGCTGGGGAGTTCCCTTCTTGAAAGCACAGAGGTAGAAAGGGATTTTGGAGTCATTATTGACAAGATGAACATGAGCTGCCAATGCCAGACCGCAGCCAGCAAGGCCAG